TCCAGGGAACTTTTGTCTGATGACATTATAGGATAGCAAATTGCAAAGGTAATGGAACCTGCCAGGTATGTACTATGCTTCTGGATTGCTGCCAAAGGACCATTTCTCAGAGGAATACTCTGCCACTACAGGGTAATTTAGTGACAAATCTCAAATGCAACAAATTGCTCTCTAATGAGATACATGATGGATTGCTTTTTCAAAGAGACACACTCGGAGTTGCACTGTTTGGATAGCAAATTGCAAAGGTAATGGAACCTGCCAGGTATGTACTATGCTTCTGGATTGCTGCCAAAGGACCATTTCTCAGAGGAATACTCTGCCACTACAGGGTAATTTAGTGACAAATCTCAAATGCAACAAATTGCTCTCTAATGAGATACATGATGGATTGCTTTTTCAAAGAGACACACTCGGAGTTGCACTGTTTATGGTCGATATGTACCTCTATGTTTCACTTCAGCATGGACAGCTTCAAACTGCAATGCTTTTTGACAAACATCAGAAATCTTAATTGATACCAAGAGAGTAATTATGCTCATATTAACGAGGCTCTGGAGTGCTAACAATGAGCAGTTATAATTAATTATGCAAAAAATGAGAATGGTTAGGGGAAATGCACTTCATTATAAAAAATGAAGCTAGTTCTTCCCTTGGCATGGGAGTTGAGTGTCTGGGAGGATAAAGACTATAGCGGTATCTTATCAGTGAGCTTATTCTTTATCTTAGGCAAAACAGATTGTCAAGCCAAGAGTAAGTACTTGTCTACAACCAAGCACTTTTTCTTTTTGCATTTTGAACAGCATAGGATAAGGCCACTGTGCACTGAATCTTTGAGAGCTGCAACCCACTTTTTTTTCTGCCACATTCATGAAGCTTCAGTGTAGTCTGCATCCTCTCATAGTCTCATAGCTTGGGAAAATTAAGAGTAATTCACTTACTTTTGAGGAGAAAGTAGTAGTCGGTATAGATTCTGATTACTCAGTTTGTAGCAGTGTTATTCAACCTCTGCACCACTGACATTTTGGGTTGGATATTTCTTTTTCTGAGGCGGCTGTCCTGTGCACTGCGGAGCGTTTAGCAGCATCCCTGGTCTCTAGCCACTAGATGCTGATAGCATCCCTCCCCCAGTTGTGACAACCAAAAATGTCTCCAGAAATTATCAGTTGCCCCTGATGGCAAAATCACCCCTGGCAGACAACACTGGTTTAGCAAGTGCAGATTATTTGTAACTATTTTAACGTTCAGAAGTTATGATATACAGAGTCTAAATTATTGATGATAAATTATAAAAGGAAACATTAAAAAATTGAAATATATTATTTCCTAAGTTGTGGACCTTATAAAATTAATCACAGAAGGTGCAAATTGCATGAGTTCCTTAAAATGCCTCTAGCATGAGTATTTGAGGGAGCAATTGGTGATACTTCCCGGTTCTTATTGGATATTTTGGGACTCAAAAGCGCAGCCAAGTTGTGTGTGTGAGGGGTGGGGGGGAAGCCCATCCAATAAAAACAAATTAATTTAATTCAGTAAGTTGTATACGTAGAAAAATTAATTAAAGGACTATGCAGCTTGGAAACTAGAAAGCTTTGAAAAATAATGGAAATAGCAAGGATTTTTCTCACATAAGCATGGAAATGTCTTTGTAGAATGCCGTAACTGGCAGCCAGAGGACTTAGGACAAAGATAAACATTTTATTTTGTGGCACCACAGTAGGGTTTATTTACCTCTTTCTCCCTAAAAACCCAGATAAGTTCCTCATGGAAGAGGTTTCTAGCCCAAAGAGAAGGAAGGACTATGCAAGTTTGTTTAAAAAATTATTTAATGACCATTCCTTTTCATTGTTGTTTTGAAGTCGGATTGTCTCTTCTCCATATTTGATTTACTTCACTCTATTTATTAGTCCTGTAACTCCTATGTAATTATTTATGGCTAGCATGGTGAAATTTTCAACTATAAAACAGAATTCCTCTCAAAATATCATTATGATATTTTACCTTTTGCCTGCAAGATTATACTTTTTAAATTTTTCACTGCTATTAATAAAGCAAAATCATCTACTTAGATGAATGTCTTTCTTTATAAAAAGTTCTTTCGATTATAAAAAGAAGAAAGTCCTATTCAGGAAGGTCACTATTTAAAACCTCCAAATTATTAAGAAACTTTAGTTCTATCATTCTTGGATTTCTTGTTAAAAGACTGTAAAGGCTAAACTACCTGAAAGAATGTCTCACACCAATGACCTCATCGGAATGCATGAGAGGACCCAAGCCATCAATATGCATCTGAAGAATGACAAGATTCTTCTCTGTGCACTTGGCTTTCCAGAACACGTGGCAGTTGGCAAAGGGAGACTTGGAACCAGATGTCCAAGCCTGCTTATTTCCAGAATATTAGCAATGAAAGAGCACCATGGAATCCCTTCACTTATGATATTATAAGAACTGGAGTAGACTTGGATCCCATTGAAGGAAAGGAGTATAATAAGAAAGTTCTTTTTTGAAAAATAGACCTCTCTGTAAGTTGGTTCCTAAGATGTCACTGCAACACCGGGCATGGTATTTAATATACAAAGGTTTCATGCTGTGGTTTCCCACCTCCTCTTTTTTTCTGCCAGCCCTTCACCATTTTTACTGGTCCATGTATCATTAATCCCTTTAGTAGAAGCAGGAGATAAAACTAGAACTAAACCATTTTGCTTTTTTTTTTTTCTTCTGGTTTTGATACAGTGAAGTGGGAGGTTTGAATTCTTAATAATTGAAGTTTATTAACTTCTTGTAGCTTTCATTATTTGTCCTTTTTGTATTTGTTATCTTTCATTAGCCAGAATTGTCCTGTAAAAGCTGCATTTGAATATTAAAGTCTAAATCTGTTCAACTAGCTTACACTAGATGGAGGTATTTTCATATGCAAATACACTATAATGTATGATTTATCCGTGAAAAATAGAGTCAAGGCTTTGAAGGTATTTATTTTTAATAACATCTTCAGTTGTTGACTGGTTCAAGTTTGCCTACCAACGATTTCTCCAGATTTGTCAAGTATCTTTCCACCATGAAATAAAATGCCCTTGCAGTCACCCTTCCCTGATACTTTAACGACCATACTCTTTTAAAACTCAACAGTTTAAGTTAACGGTATATCATCTTCCATTTACTGTGCAGCTTAACTGCAGGGTTACACTTTTGAGCCAGCAGCCAACTTTACTGCCACCTTCAAAAGTTTATTATAATGTTGTAAATTTTTACTTCTCAAGGTTAGCATACCTATGAGTGCTTCAAAATTAGGATTCAGGAAAGAAAGAACTTTGGCAGGCACTGAGTGGAAATTAACGACATGCATTCAGCGGGTACGGATTTCGAAGAGAAATATCATAGCAGTTACATAACAGTCATCTTCATGACTTTCCAGGATAATTGCGTGAAGAATATGGTGGACAACAAGACCTACTGACACTCAGGCACAGAAAGGACTAATGAACAGCCTACCATTCTATCCTTCCCTCTCATTTTTCACAAGTGTCTCGTGGGTAACAGACTCGTGTTCATATTACAAGGAAGGGAGACTGCCTAAGGGGCTAACTCTAGAAGTTTTGTTCTCTCTGTCTAATGAAGTGAAAAATAAGAATGCCTAAAGTTTTGTACAACATTAATAGTAAAACACGATAGTAAAAACCAAGTGAGAAGTCTTTCCAAAACTATTAAAAGGGTATCTGCTGTGAAAGTATTTTGAGAAGAATGTGCTAAATTGTTTGGTATTTTCTGTAGGAACCCCAGAGCGAAATACGGTTTGCAAAAGATGTCCAGATGGGTTCTTCTCGAATGAGACGTCATCTAAAGCACCCTGCAGAAAACACACAAACTGCAGTGCCTTAGGTCTCCTTCTAAGTCAGAAAGGAAATGCAACGCATGACAACATATGTTCTGGAAACCGTGAGTCGACTCACAAATGTGGAATAGGTAATTATAAATCAGCCTCTGCATCACCTCTGAGTTGATTACAAGACCTTCTGGCCACCTTCTTAGTCAAACTTATATTTTCCCTTTCTTGAATTGTAACCAGCTAAGGGTATTCTCTGTGCATCACTGCTAAAGCCACAACTCAAAAAGTCCTCATTGTCTCACAGATCATGCTCCAAACCCCGACTTTCTTCCTTTCACACTTGACTCAGATCTTACCCATGGGGAAAAGAGTGGTGTAAAGGTTATGTCTGAGGCCAAATGATCAGAGTCCAAATTGCAGAATTTTTTGTTATGCATTTTTATCACTTTTAAGAATACTTGTATTATTACCCAAAGTATAAATTGGCAACTAAGAAGTATGGTGACATAAAATGATGACAAATTAGAAATGTAAAACTGGCTTTGTTACCTATGGTATTGCTGCATTTGTTACATGGAAGTTCCTCGTACTGTCTTAAACTCTTTATTCAGAACGTCACTAGCTCCAAGCGCAAGTTATCTGAATGCATACCATGTTGCTGATGACACTAATCTGGACAGTGTCCTTACTCTGTCATCCCTACCTCTAGACTAATCTCACACTTTCTACCAAGGACTCATTACACCAAGGATAATGTGTCTTTTAGCTTTTAGCCAAACATCATCATGAACTAGCTTGATTGTCCCCAAACATCTATTTATTTAACACGAAGTACATGAAGCATAGGAAAGTGGGTAGAGAGATTTAAGTTTTGATCCAGTTCCAACATTTTTTCACTGTGTAACTGAAATTTTAGACAAGTCATTTAGCCTTTCTGCTTTCTTATCTTAAAAAAAATGGAATAAGGGAAAGAATAGTAAGAAGAATGACTTCTAACTTAAAAATTCTCTTTATTTAATTCATTGAGCACTTCCTATATGCCCGGTACTTTGCTATGTGGGCAGAGCCAGGATTCAAACCCAGGCCTGATGAATCCAAAGACAAATTCTTAATCCATGGGATATATTGACCCTACCTGGACACTTAGGCCATTGTACCATTGTTTTGTGTGACTCTCTTCTCATTTAATATATTCTTATTCCTAAAGGCAAACTATGTGTTTGTGTATGTATAGAAGATGATACACTATTCCAGATTACTTTCAAACTCCTTTGAAAGCAATGATTATATTTGTTTTGATACTGATTTTGAAGTATCTTGCGGGCACTAGGTAAACCTCAACAGAACGTTAATATTTACATTAAATCACAGATTTTTTTGCTGCAATTTTATAGCAATATTAATTCTTATTAAACATTTATTAAACTTTCTCCCCCCAAATGCCCTAAAAGAACATTAAAAAGGACATCAGCCCAGTTAGGTTGGTAATCTGCCATGAAAACCAGCCAACAGAAGGTTGATTTTATTCAAACTTTGCATTCTGGCATATCATGTCTTGGAAAATCCAATAGTGTTGCTTTTTTAATTTTGATTTTTGTCCAGTAGATTTCCAAGAATCCAATTGTTGAGTAAATTTTCTTGGTTTTCTCACCTTCCTTTAGATGTCACCCTGTGTGAGGAGGCATTGTTCAGATTTGCCATTCCTACCAAGTTTACCCCTAACTGGCTCAGTGTCCTGGTAGAAAATCTGCCTGGCACCAAAGTAAATGCAGAGAGCGTAGAGAGGATAAAACGGCGACACGACTCACAAGAACAAACTTTCCAGCTGCTGAAGTTATGGAAACATCAAAACAAAGACCAAGATATGGTCAAGAAGATTATCCAAGGTATGGTAACCGGAAATGAACAAGTCAATCAGCAATCAAAGACACTCATTTCTCATAAAACAGGAACAGCCTTCCTGTTTGGTTATGTGGGCAATGTTTCCCTTTGGGAATTATTGTTGGACTGAAAGAGTTTCCACAATGTGATAGGGTAGACCCTGTTCCAGATCAGCCATGCGGGGTTTGATTCTCAACTCCTCCACATCCCACCTCCTTTTCTTTTTAAAGTGTATGAAGAAGACACAATCCATGTCAAGCGCAGGGCTAGACCTCAGGAAATCTGCCTCTATATCCCTTAACAGTTTTATTAGCATCCTCACTGACCTTCCTAGAAGTTCTTTAACCACTTTGAATCTTTCTCTGCATTTCTTCCAAGAAGCTATGCTGTATTTATTTGGTAATGCTCTCCAGAGAGCTTCTAAGTGTCTTAGAGATACTTCTCATTAATCTTCAGAACATAACCTATTTTAAAATTACCATTTTAATAGCATATGTTGTAAGGATTAATGAGATAGGGTTTGTAAAGTGTTTGAGCTTCTTGGAGGAAAGGGCTAGTTAAAACCAAGTACTCTCCGGTTTTAGAGTTTTATAAAGATTCTCCTTTAGAGACTATGTGCGTGTGCTATGATGGGAGAGAATCCAAAGGGAAAAGTGAGTTTCATATAGTGTGGACCGTAAGCTTTAGGTTATAAAATAAGGGAGCTTTTTTGTAATGCAGACAATGTCAGTGAGACATCCAGTCTTCTCGTCACTGCAGTTAAATGACTGAAGAGTCCTACGCTACCGTAAAAGCCTCACCCATCTGAAGTTGAGGCAACAGATGTTAGGAGACTAACACCTTTGACAGCCGAATGCTTTCACTTGTGCAAAAATGTAAACTTTTCTTCTGTTTTTGGCAAACAGAATGTATTCTTTGAAAGTATAATTAGCCTTGAAGCAAAAAGGAAAGGAAGTAGAGGTTCAGAGACTGTTAGAATAGGAAGGGACCAAATTCCTATTTTATAAATGAGGACATTTCAGCCCAGGAAGATGAATTGACTTGCCTTAGGGCTCACAGATATTAAATGACTCATGTCGTTAATAGAAACATTAGTTACTTTCTCTTATGTTTATGTCCTAGCTCATTACTGAAATATTCTCTAGGCTGTGTATATCATCCTATTCTTTGGCCTCAATTTATTGGGTTTTTAGATCTTCTCTGTGGTGGTAATCCTCTGGTGCCATTTATTAAAGACTATTTGAAGCAACTAACTCTTTTTAAACAGTGCATTTATCAGATATCGACTAGTGAAAGTTTATATTACAAAATAACTAATTTGAATACTTTGTTTTTCTGAAATGTTATAGTTTTTACTTCTCGAATTTTTTTTTTTTTTTTGAAAACTGAGAATGATGTGTCTGTAATTTTCTACTGGTAATTTTCAAAATTAGGGCTTCTCACAATGCTTTGTTGGATGACTAGAATATATAGCATATTATCTTATGATAACACAAAGTAATATTTATCTCAGTTCTTAGAAATAACTAGCATCACTTAAGCCCTCATTAAAAAAAAAAAAAGAAAAGGATATCCTTAATGTTATGAAACTTAGAAAACCTTGGCCCCAGGGTAGTTTTGTGCTGGCATTAGAAGAATGTACGTGATGTGAACGTGTCTATGTTTTTGCTCTATGCAGATATTGACCTCTGTGAAAATAGCGTGCAGAGATACATCGGGCACACAAACCTCACCTTCGAACAGCTCCGCAGCTTGATGGAAAGCTTGCCAGGGAAGAAAGTTACAACAGAAGACATCGAGAAAACTACGAAGACATGCAAATCAAGTGAGCAGGTCCTGAAGCTGCTCAGCCTGTGGAGAATGAAAAACGGCGACCAGGACACTCTGAAGGGCCTAATGCACGCACTGAAGCACCTGAAAACATACCACTTTCCCAAAACTGTCACTCAGAGTCTGAAGAAGACCATCAGGTTCCTTCACAGCTTCACGATGTACAGATTGTATCAGAAGCTATTTTTAGAAATGATAGGGAACCAGGTCCAATCCGTAAAAGTAAGCTGCTTATAACCAGAAATGGTCATCAGGCTGTTTCCTCATAATGGACCAGACCCAATGGATGAGTAAACTGTTTCTCAGGCACTTGAGGGGGTAAAATGATTTCTTTCTCATCACCAAAGACTGGATTTGGCCCCAGGGCATTAAAAAAACAACAACAACAACAACAAAAAGCAAAAAGCAAACAAAAAAAAAAACTATGGTGTGGAGAAAGAACTAACTTCTCCCCAAAAAGTTCGTTAAACCCCAAATAGTTTATCCAACCAACAGATCTGGTCCAACATCTACTGACTATATTTTCTCTTATTACTGTTTGCAGTAATTCAACTGGAAATAAGAAACTAGACTCCATTGTGCCTTACTAAATATGGGAATGTCTAACTTAAATAGCTTTGAGATTTCAGCTGTCTAGAGGCTTTTATTAGAAAGCCATTATTTTCCTGTAAAAGTACTAATATATCTGTAACACTATTACAGTATTTGCTATTTATATTCCTTCAGATATAAGGTTTGTACATATTATCTCCTAAAGGGAAATTGTGTAAGACTTAATTTTAGAAAGAATATATATATTCTGTTTTATTATTATGACAAATGAAAGAGATAAAATATATTTTTAATGCAAAGTTTGTAGCGTTTCCTAATCGGTACTGCCATTCTTCCTATGTTTTTGTAATATAATTTTACCTATATAAGCTATAATATCATTTTATAGAAAATGCATTATTTAGTCAATTGTTTAATGTTGGAAACTGTATAAAATATAAATTATCTGAATATTAGATGTGCTGAGAAATTGAATGTACTTTATTTAAAAGATTTTATGTTTTTACTATATAAACAACATCATTAAAGTTTTCTAATTATTTTTCATCGCTTTTCCTCTTGCTTTTATTTAAATGGAACGCTAACGGATGTGAGCTTTTACAATTTTCTCTGTTCTTTTATCACCGGGGCCATCTGGGAATTGTTAAAAATGCAGATTTCTGGGCCAATTTATTGACAGAATCTAGGGAAAAGGGCAGAAACCTGCATTTTAAACAAGTTCCAAAGTAATTCTTATTACATGAAAACTGGAGAACTTATGAAGTCAAGCTTAGCATGCAAATGGTGCAAACCACTTATAATTGCTGACACTAGCTAACATCGAGGGACCAAACTATGTAAGTTATTTTGGTTGCAAGCAATAGAAACTGGCACTACTTAGTTTAAGAAAATGTTAATGGAAACAGAGACTTATGGGCATGCACGATAGACTAGTGGTTACCAGAGGGTAGGGGGTGTGGGGAGGGGGGAGGTAGACGGGGTAAAGGGGGTCAAATATGTGGTGACAGAAAGAAATCTAACTACGAGAGAACACACAGTGTAAACATATATATGCTTTAATGTTAAAGTGTACAACTGAAACCCTGGATTTCGTTAACCGATGTTACCATAAAAAATTAATTAATTATTTTAAAAAAGAAAATGCTAATGGGAAGGATGGTGTATCAGGTTGAATGGTATCCTTTCCCAAAATAGGTTCACAATATAATCCCCAGACACTGTGAATGGACCTAGAAAAAGGGTCTTTGTAGATGTAATTAAGGATCTTGAGATGATAAAATCAGTCTGGATTATCTAGGTGGGCCCTACATCCAATGACAAGTGCCTTTATCAGACACGGTAGGGACAGACAGAGGAGAAGATGATGTGAAGACAGAGGCAGAGATCGGAGTGAAGTAGCCATAAGCCAAGGAAGCCAGAGGAAGCAATGGAAAGATTCTCCCCTAGCCGATATCTTGATCTTGGACTTATGGCCTCCAGAACCATGAGAGAATTAACGTCTGTTGTTTTAAGCTAGATGATGGTAATTTGCCACAACAGCCATAGGAAGCTAATACAGGTTGTATCCAAGCCTCAGAAATGGCAGAATTAAGATAGCTCTGGGCCCATCAAGGACAGAAGTTCCTATACTTTCTTCCAGTCTTACGATTCTGCATCTTTCAGTTCAAAATTTCAAAGTCCCAGGAAAGAGACTCTGACATTGGTATGAAGACATGGCCTGCGAGGGTCTGTCTTTATCAGTTACAATTCCCAAGAAGGGGATGTCATTATGAACAGGATCCACGGGACCCCATCCTTTTCCAGTCTGCGTTTCTCTTTTTCTCGCTTCCCTGTGACTTACAACCCTGGAGTGTTAGCCCAAATCAACCCTGCCTCTGTGAAATTAGATCAGTGATAGCCCCTTTGACAGAAGGGTAGATCCAGGAAAATATTACACAAACTCACAAATCTGGGGAAATAAAAAGCAGAAGGGAAGTCAAGAGGCTTGGAGAATCAGAGTCCCAGTGTTGCAATATTGAAGCAGAAAAAATGGTGGGAATAAGTGTTGCGTGTCTCCGTAGGGGGACAGGAGTCAATCGCCTGCAGTTTCCCTTCAGAAGCTCTGGTTCTTCCACGGAAGTTCCTATTTACGGATAAAGAAATGGCCTACACACCTCGGCTAGTTTTAAAGAAAAGATCTTAAGTTAATGGCATCAAGTATAAATCATTCAAATGCTAATTCGACTGGCTTCCCTGGCTGTGCTTTTGGGTCAAGTCTACCTCAAGCTTCTCCTCCAAGGGAGATAGGCCACAGGTTCAAGTCAGTTTCCTTTTTTTTTAACTTTTAATTTTGAAATAATTTTAGATATATAAAATCATTGAAAAAAAATACTGTAAAGTACCTATAGGGAGCTATTTTGTAAAATATACCCCGATTTCAGTTTGTCTCATGTTTTCGCATGAACCAACTTATGTTAAGGATTTGAGAGAAGACTATCCCATAGGTGATGGCTCTTCTCACATCATATCATGGGCAAATGATATCGGTATGACCGATTACCATTGATATTAACCTTGATGACTGAGTTCATTTTTATATAAGACGTGAGATATGTATTGAGGGCTGTCGTTTTTAATATATGGTCATCTACTGGTTCCAATAGGATTTGCCAAAAGACCAGAATTTCTCCATTTAATTGCCTTTGCATCTTTGTCAAAGATCAATTGGTCACATTTGTGTGGGTATATTTTGGGATCTCTATTCTGTTGCATTTCTTTATAAATTCATTCTTTCATCTATACCACACTCTCTTAATTACTGTCACTTTATAAGAAATCTTAAAATTATCTCTGATAATTACTCTGTCACTTGGGAGCATGCTGGGTTTTTTCTTGCTTTTTTTGGTCTGCTTCCTAAGTTTTTGTTAAAAGCTGAATATATTGTGTAAGCCAGCAGAAATGGAGCTATATAGTTTTTATACCTGGATACGGATATGACTGTCCTTCTGCTAGAATCGTCAGGGAAGGGTTTGCATTCATCCGGTTAGTAACTGAACTAGTTTTGTTGTTGTTTTTGTTTTTGCTATTGTAATGCTCAGTGCATCAGAGGTTTCCAATTCCTATAGACAGCTTGTTTCTGTGGTGGTAGATGTATATTAGATCAATGCTTATTTGATTCCAAGTTTTAGGTCTTCCCTTTGAGCTATGCCTCAAAAAGGTTCTCTTTGTACATTTTGTTCTTCTCCCATGCCTCCTCCAGCAGTATTTGCTGTTACTATTCATTTGAAGCTTCTTAGCTACATGAGGTGAAGGAGGTGCAGTTTCTGTTGTTCTGATTAAGACTCTTGGACATGCCTGTGTCCCCGGGGGGTGTGGCCCTCTCAGTTCTGCCCTTTCCATGGCTGAACTTGTGGGTTCAGCACTAAATACTGTCCCTTATTCTGAGAATAGACTTTTCACCTTCCTGTTCCTTTTCTTCAGCTACAAGGAATGTTCGCCAATATCCTGAAGCCAGCCGTTTTACATCCCCACACCCAGATTAATGCTTTTGCTCTTCTGGGTAAGATATCTCGCCCTCCCTACAGGGCTTCTGCCCTCCCTTCAATATCTTATGGTTCTTTTTGACCTATTCAGTGAGTGCTCAATAGGGGGTTCATGGAGAAAGAGCCTACAACAGTGGTAGAGGAGGTCATCAAGAGGATGGGAACATTGGTTGACACTCAAGCTAGACCCAGGCAATCAGGACCCTTCCCCTGTCCTTGGAGTGTATGTTCTGCCCACTGTTCCCACTGTGGGAACTGTTTCAAGGATGCAGCCTTGAGAGAGTAAGGTGTTGTTGAGATCATTTGGACTGTGTACGTGACTAAACCTCATTAAAGCTTCCACATAAAATTTTAAGATTCTGACAGGCGGGTGCAGGGAACTCGACTTAGCTGCCAAGAAAAGCCTTGTATGTAAGTTCTACATGAAATTTTAAGATTCTGACAGGCGGGTGCAGACTTAGCTGCCAAGAAAAGCCTTGTATGTAAGTTCCTTTGCTTATTAAAACTGCCATACACCAAATGGAGTGGTCTGGCTCTTTCTTTGGTCTCTCCTTGGTCTTCGCGTTTGAGGGCCAGTTTTAGATTTCACCTGGGAAGTATCTGAGGTTGCAAACCTCTTTACATGCTCCAGCTTTATACATTACTCAGGAAGAAGACAGAACTCTGTCAATTTTGTTATTTAATAACCTGATGTCTAAGAATAGATGGGAGTTAAAACTATCCTTATGCGTCCAGATCCACTGTCTCTTCTTGTCTGTCCAGAAACCTACACAAGTTGTAAAGTATTTTTTGATGAATTAGTATTATGGACTAAAGAATTCAGACTAAAAAAAGAATTTGGACTACTGTTCTAGAACTGTCGTAAAAAATATTCTATGCAGTTTTTATTTATATAATCATGCTTTTATATTCCACCTATTTTAGTAAGCATCTTATTCAATAGACTATCTTCAGTATTTTATTTATATATTTAAAATCTAATTTGTTAATTCATTGAAAAAAAGTTCTTCTGAGTGCCCAACCAGAGTACTCAATTCAAAGCACTTTATACCCAGTTCTAAGCAAGAGATACAGTGGCAAACCATTACTTCTCTCAGCAGTATAATCTTAGGTTGTTTTAATTTTAATTTTGTGTGTGTGTCTGTGTGTGTGTGTGTGTGTGTGTGTCTGTGTGTGTGTGTGTGAAACCATCCCTGTCAAACACAAAGGTATTTACGTTCAGGTGTAGAGATTAGTGTGAGAGAAAGGGAGAGCTCCAAGAACAAAGAATCCTATACTCTTCTTATCAATGCAGAGATCAATAACCCTGGAAGTAACTTATTTCCAATTACTTAGCACCTTTGGAGATGTTCCCTAAACTGATGTCAAACTCAATCTGAGGGATAAACTTTTACTATTCTCTTCCCTTAATCAAAATTCGTCACAGTGGCTATAATTAGTATAATTATAACTGTCGATATTGAACACAGCTCTATTCTAATTCTTTGACTTTCTTGCTATTGTTTTCCATATTTCTCTCCTCAAATCTAGGAAGCTATAAAACAGGAATTTAACAGTAATAATAGGCTGCAATAATTATCTCTATAACTGAGTTTAAATACGTGTGTTTTGAAGATGGTTATAATCTATTTGGGGAGACAGGATATACACATGAAAGAGTACTAATACCAGACAGTTTATACTTAGTGCCAACTGAATTGTGTAAACAAGATACAGTCATCAAATGTCATCTCTGAATCCCAGGGCAGGCCAAGAAACAGTAACTTTAGCTGTGTCTTGTAAACACGTCTAGGCAGAGAGAAGTATGTGGAATATTTCAGACATAAGGAATTGCATTGGAAAAATCATAGAGGCTAAAATGCACATAACGTGTTGAGGAAACACTGTCTAGACTCATATAGTTTATATAAAAATTTGAAGAGCAGTATAAAATAAGCTCGAAGACATTTATTACTAAAACATTTGGGGTTGCTATAGAATATCGAATTGCCTTATCTACCCAGAACTCTTCGTTTTAATCTGGCG